CTCACCTGGCTGACAGCAGGAGGAGAAGGTGTCTGGAGAAGTGTGTGAGGGACAGAGGCACTGGGCTGGCTTTTATGTTGGTTCTGGAGGGGTGGGACCACCTTGTCCTGCGGCCTTGGGGCATTTTGCAGGTAACATTTCCTAGATGTCTCAGAATGATGGGTCATGTGGTGGGGAGTGTTTTCCATCCCACAACTCTGCACTGTCATGTCCTGCTTTTGAGTCTGTGTCCATCTGACCTTGGCGGCAGCTTTTAAATGCAAGTATTAGAGACCAAAGGCTGTTGATGATGATGTTTTTTGTGGAGGGCTGTAGACGTGAGCAGAGCTTTGGAGAGTGAGGTGTCATGAGTGAGGTCACCCCCTGGCCCTGGTGTGCTGTGGTTTGTGGGTGTCTTGTGGAGAGGGTCCTCATTCCCCAAAAGCCAAGTCAGGCTCCTCTGGACTTTGGGGCTCTTCTGGAGGTAATGGATATCCCCTTCCATCACACCCTCTCCCTTCCTATCCTGTTGCCGTCATTCTAAACCCAACTGTATGCCAGGCCCTTCCTACTGGATATGGGAAAACGATCGCTGTGACGCCTCCCCGGCTGTCCAATGGCTTGTGTTGGTTCATCCACAGTGCTGGTCTCTGCTGAGCCCTGCTCGTGCGGTTCTGGGGTTCCATTGGTGGGCTCTGAGTGAAATTGGGCAGTTAAAAGTGGCGCAGAATAAGAAGAAGACATGTGAGGAGCAGCTGGAGGAACTGCAGATATTCACTTTTGAGAAAACTAGGGTTGAATTTTTTACTCTGTAGAGGTACGCAAATGGAAACTAATGTCGGTTTTCTCTGGCAAAACTTGTGAATCATGATGTGGGGAGTTTGTTCCTCACCACTGCTGTACAGTGTCATGTCCTGCTTTTGAGGCCATTTCCATCTGACCTTGGCATTAGCTTTTAAGTGAGAGTTGCTATTTGGGAGGATTTTCTTGGAAGATGTGTGTCAGAAAAACCAGAATATACAACAAAAGCCGAGGAAAAGTAAGGGTGTCATCAGTGAGGTCATTTTGTGGCAGTAGTGTGGTTTAGTTTGTGGGTGTGTTGTGAAGAGGGGCCCCATTCCATCACAGCTATGTCAGGCTGGTCTGGGCTTTGCAACTGTACCGTGCATGAGGAGCTGCCCCTTCCATTGCGGTCATTCTTCTTTTAAAGTGTGAGTGTTTGAGAGCAAAGTCTGGTGTTGATGGTTCATGTGAAAGGGGATTGAAGAGGTGACCAATATTTGGAGAGGTGCAGTGTCATCAGTGAGTCAACATCATGGAACTCATGGTTCTATGTTCATGCGTGTGTTGTGAAGAGGAGCCCCAAACTATCCCAGGTCTGTCGGGCTGGTCTGGGCTTTGAATCTGTGCCAGGTGTGAGCTCCTGGACTCTTCCATTCCATGTGTGCAGTGGGAGAGTTGCCTCCTCCGCAAGTTGGTGGATGGTGGAGTGTCTGAGGCATCTCTTGGCTGTGCTGCCAGTCAGATGCATCTGGTGTCTAGAGGAGAAAGGAATCTCCTGAATTTCAAGAGTGTAGAATGTGAAGTTCTGCATGTGGGCAGGAATGACATTGGGCCTCAGGTCATGCTTGGGGCTGAGAGGCTGGAAAGCAGCTGGTGATCCCAAGATGACAGTGGAGCTTTACTTCAAAGGATGTCCCCAGTGTCTAAGACAAAATCTGGAAATTTTTACCATGAAGATGTTGGGAAAGGTGGCTGTTCCTCTCTTTAGAGCGCTGGTGAGATCCCATGTGGAGTAGTGTGGATGGTTCTGGTCTCCGCAGGTGAAGAAGCACAAAAGTGGGTGGAAGTCAAGCTGAGGGCCACCAGATAATGCCAGGGCTGGAGAATGTTTGCTAGAGGAGAGACTGAGAGAGCTGGGATTCTGAAGAGACAAGGATGGGCAGGGGGATGTCAGGAGTTTGTGAGAGCCCAGCTGTTCTCAGCAGTGCCCACATGAAGGAAAAGGGGGCAGGTGCACAAATGACAATTGATGGAATTCCCTGGGCAAAGGAGGCAGGAAGTTTTCAATGTCTGTGGATAATCACCGAATGTAAGAGAGAACGGGATCCATTTTTTTTGGAGGTCCAAAACTGCACTGGCCACAGTCCTGTTAACCCTACTCTTGCTTGAGGCTGCCTGAGGAAGGGGGATGGGAGCATTTACGCACTGGAGTTGCTGCCCATTTGCATGATGTTTTTGCTCTGCTTGCTGGGAGGACTCAAGAGTGCAGCTGGGAAGAGAATGTTTCAAAGTGCAAGCTGTCATGGAGTGAATTTAGCAGAGCAGTTCACAGAAGGGAATTGTGTCAAAGCCTTTGGTGTATCAGGTGATGGGCTTGTGTCATGTTCTGGAAGGTTCCCTCTCTCCTCTATTTCCTGTGTCCGTGTCGGTTGTTACTATTGGGGAGATATTTACTAAGAATGAGTCTTTCCTCCTTTTATATCCATCATAATGGTTGAGTGCTGGCATTACACACCGTGAGGATGTGAGATCATTGGAATTCCAAAAAAACAAGAAGGCAACTCAGGTTCTGATGCAAGGCAAATTTATTGAAGTGAAAGAATGATGAGAAAGAAGAAGCTGAAGGAATTGGGTGTGAGGAAGAAAGTCGGCTGACCATCAGCCCAGGTGCTTGGCTTGCAGGAGATGTTGTCAATGCAACGAGCTGGTGATGTCAGAGGTGATGCTGAGGACCCTTAGCAGATGTAGCCACCCCTTCTGCCATAGCAGCCCAGGCCTCCCAGCCCATAGCCAAGGCCAAAGCCAAAGCCACCAGAGATGGGCTGTCCCTGGGCATTGAGTTCGCTACCAACGGCAGCCGAGGAGGTGGATCCAACGGCGGTGTTCTGGGGGAAGGAGGTCATGATGGGTCCTGGCATGGTGACCAGCACAGGGGAAGGGTTGATGATGACGCTGGAGTTCTGGCATTGCAGGGCACAGGGCTCGTTGCAGCTGTTGGCCAGCGGGGTGGGTCCGCAGGGACGGCAGATGTTGTTGCAGGCCATGGTTGTGGTGTGGATGGTCCCTGGAAGAGAGGGGATGAGGCAGGGCAGGGGTGTTGGGGTGCAAGGGGTGGTGATGCAGGCAAGAATGGGAGAGTTTGGAGGCTGTTGTGGGGCTGTGGGGAGGTGTGAGGGCTGCTGAGGCTGAGCATGCTGGCAGAGGGCCCAGGGGCGCCGGAGCAGGAGAGTCAGGGATTTGAGGCTCACCTGGTTGTCAGCAGGAGCAGGAGGAGAAGGTGTCTGGAGAAGTGTGTGAGGGAGAGAAGCTCTGGGCCAGCTTTTATGCTGGTCCTGGAGGGGAGGGACAGCCTTGTCCCATGGCCTTGGGGCATTTTGCAAGCAGCAGCACTTTGCTGGCCCAGCTTGCTGAGTCATGATTTGGAGACTATTTTTCTTCTCATAACTCTGCAATTCAATGTCCAGCTCTTGATTACGTGTCCGTCTGACCTTGGCAGCAGCTTTCAATTAGGAGTTGATATTTGGGAGTATTTCATATTATATGTGTGTCAGAGAGGACTGAATAAGCAACCAGAGCCCTGGAGATTTGCAATGTCACCGGTGAGGTAATTGTGTGGCACTTGTGTGCTGTGTTTTTTTGATGCTTTGTGAAGATTTGGCCCCTTTTCTGTGCCACTGGGTGTCCATCACTCATTGTGTTGCACCCGGGAAAGCTGAGGGAGCTGTTGATGTCCTGGGGAGGTTACTCTGCAACAACCTGGAAAGGTCTCAGTGCCTGGGAGCACTTGATGTATGAAAGAGATCTCATGGCCATCTGTCTTGAATGCCATGGAGAGAGAGCATCTGGAAAAGGAGAGGCTGTTCAGGCTGAACTTGTTCCAATGTTTTGGGCCTTTTGGAATTCTCAGCTGTACATGATAATGTACTCTGTCATTTAAATTGTATTCCTTGACCTCATTAAGAAACCCATTAAAACAAACAAGAAATGGGTGGAAAAGGAAAAGGCAGGTCTGTGACATCAATTGTCTTATTCCTCATTAAGGTCATATTCTTTCATAACTTGTATCCTTTAAGGCTTAGCATTGTGTTCCTGTGAGCAAAACCCAATAAATACTAGCTCTTGTCAGGAACATCACCTTTCTTTCCTTGTCATGGTGCAGGTTCGTTTTTGGAATTCTCTGATTCCATGTCCTTCTCTTGAGTCTGTCCACCTGACCTTGGTGGCAGCTTTTAAATGCAGTTTTTAGAGGTTAAAGACTGGTGTTGATGGTGCAGGTCAGGGTGAGGTGAAGAAGTTACCAAAGCTTGGGAGAGGTGGGGTGCCCTCACTGATGTCACCCTGTGATACCTGTGTTCTGTGTTTTTTGTGTGTGTTGTGAAGAGGGGCCCCATTCTTTCCTAGCTATGTCAGGCTGGTCTGGGCTTTGAAGTTATTCTGGGTCTGAGGGGCTGCCCCTTCCAGTGCATTCAGTCTTTCTCTACCTTGGCTCCATCTCTTCTGCCCAGTCTATATGCCAGGCCTTTCTCAATGGAGATGGGAAAGCAATTCCTGAGATTTATCAAAGTCACCCAAGCTCACCAAAGTCCAGTGCTGGTTGATCCATAGCAGTCGTCTCAGCTGGGCTCAGCATGGTCACACTGTGGGGTCACAGTGCCAGGCTCTGACACATGGAAAAGATAACTGCTGAAGTATAAGGACAAAAAGACAGGTGAGGAGAAGTTGAAAGAACCAGGGATGTTCAATTTTCAGAAGAAAAGGATTGACCTTTGTCTCGGTTTTGGGAGACAAGTGTCTGCTAGGGAGGGCAGGAGGCTCCCATGGAATGAAAAATGTAGACCCTCCTCTCTCCAAATTATGATAATCCTGAAATCAAGGGGCTTTCAGGCAGAGATTTTGGGGATAGGAATAGCAGATCTTTACTAATATTTATAACAAGGGAAACAAACAAGAATAACTACAGCATTAGCAAGAAAACAGAACCAGGGACCCCGTGACAGCCTTCTCGGCTGAGACGGGAAGGGATGGAGGATGCTTCACAAACCCCCTTGAGTCGGTAGTCCTGGTGCTCCTGCAGGACTCTGAGGAACACTCAGCTGGAACAGCAGAGATGAGCTGAGATCCTGGGCTGGTGGATGAGGTGGATCAGCAGCTCTGCGGTGGTGCCTGGCACTGCCACACGTCCCGGCAGGACAGGGGGTGCAAGGCCACCAATGAAGAGGGAAGAAAAAGAAGCAGCAGCTCCATCTGGGTGATGGCGAGATTCCCTTCTCCCCACCACAACAGCTCTGTGCCCAAAGTGTTCTTCTCCCAAGCTGAAGAAGCCCACCAAACTGTCCCCACCCTCCCCTTCTCCTGCCCCCTTCCCCACCTAGGCCTGGCCGAACTCTTTGTCTTTTCTCAAGCACCCACCAAGATCTGCAGTTAGGTTTTCCCTGCAACTAATGGGTAAAAATTCCACAGGCAAGCCAGAACTAAAAAAAGGACACCTAACCCCCAACAACCTTATTGCCCTCTGATTTGTTTGAATGGGAATTGTTTAACATCAGTCTTGTCTTCCTTTCACCAAGCTGTAGAGAAGAGGGAATGGACTTAAGCTTCCCTAGTGGGGGTTTAGTTTTCTATTAGGGAAATTTAATTCATGAAAAAAGAGGACAACCAAGATACTGAAAATCTGTCGTAGAGGAGAGGCTGGGAGAGCTGAGACTCCCAGGAGACAAGGATGGACAGCAAGGTGTCATCAATGTATGAAAATCCCTGATGGGAGGGAATGAAGTGGGGGTAGTCCATTTATTCACAGTAGTGCAACCATGCACGAAAGGAGGGCAGGGACACAAGTGAAAACAGACGGAATTCTGTGGATGAAGAAGGGAAGAATTTTTCTATGTGAGGGTGGGCAGAGAGTGGAAGAGGTGGTGGAGACTGTCCTGGGAGAGCCAAACCTGAAATGTCCATGGTTCTGTAAATCCTGCACTTGTTAGTCTTCTTGAGCCAAGGGGGAATGAAGCACTTAGACTTCAGAGTTCCTGCCCAAGTGGATGAATTTGTGACTCTACTCAGAGGGTTCAAGACTTCTGCTGGGAAGAGAGTTTGTCAAGTGTGTGCTGGCATGGAGACACTCTACCAAAACACTGCTCAGGAGACCACTACTGTGTGAAAAGCCTTGGGTGTAGCAGATGATGCGCTTGTGCCATGTTCTGGAAGGTCCTCCTGATCCCTTGCTTCCTGTGCTAGTCTTGGTTGTTAATGGCAGTGACAAGCCTGCTGAGAAATGTGTTGTGCCCTTTTTCTGTTCATTCCAGTGCCCAGTCTGGCACTGTGTGAGGTGAGGATGTGAGACAATTGGAATTTAAAAATATGAGGACACATGTCAGTCTCTAATGCAAGAAAATTTTATTGGAGCAAAAGAATTAAAAGGGAAGAGGAAAAGTTGAAGGGATCCAGTGTGAAGTGCAGGTAGGAAGACCATCAGCTGAGGTGCTTTGCTTGCAAGGAGCTTTTGATATAACCCCAAGCAGGTGATGCTGAGGTCCCTTAGCAGATGTAGCCACCCCTTCTGCCATAGCAGCCAAGGCCTCCCAGCCCATAGCCAAGGCCAAAGCCACCAGAGATGGGCTGTCCCTGGGCATTGAGTTCGCTACCAACGGCAGCCGAGGAGGTGGATCCGACGACGGTGTTCTGGGGGAAGGAGGTCATGATGGGTCCTGGCAGGGTGATCAGCACAGGGGCAGGGTCGATGATAACACGGGAGTCCTGGCATTGCAGGGCACAGGGCTCGTTGCAGCTGTTGGCCAGCGGGGTGGGTCCACAGGGACGGCAGAGGTTGTTGCAGGCCATGGGTGTGGTGTGGAGAGTCCCTGGAAGAGAGGGGATTAGGCAGAGCAGGGACGTGAGGGTTTGAGGGGGTGAGGGAGTGTGGAGGCTGTTGTGGGGTTGTGGGGAGGTGTGAGGGCTGCTGAGGCTGGGGACAAGGATACTGGAAGAGAGGGGCCAAAGGGGCAGGAGGTGGAGGCTCAGGGGTTTGAGGCTCACCTGGTTGTCGGCACTGGAGGAGAAGGCTTGAGGAGAAGTGTGTGAGGGACAGAGGCTCTGGGACATCTTTTATGCTGGTCCCGGAGGGGCGGGACAGCCTTGTCCCATGGCCATGGGCATTTTGCAGACAGCAGCTCGGCCCATCCTGGTGAGTCATGACGTGGCTTTACCACAACTCCGCCATGTCATGTTTTGCTCTACGGACACTGGGTCTGTCTGACCTTAGCAGCATCTTTAAAGTGAGGCTTGGTGTTTGGAGTCAATGGGCATTGAAGATGTGTGTCAGAGAAAACCGGAATACACAACAAAAGCCGAGGAAAAGTAAGGGAATCATCAGTGAGGTCATTTTGTGGCAGTAGTGTGGTTTAGTTTGTGGGTGTGTTGTGCAGAGGGGCCCCATTCCATTGCAGCCATGTCAGACTGCTCTGGGCATTGCAACTGTGCCATGAATGCGGAGCTGCCCCTTGCATTGCGGTCATTCTTTCTTTAAAGTGTGAGTGTTTGAGGGCAAAATCTGGTGTTGATGGTGAGTGTCAAAGGGGACTGACTATGTGACCAATATTTGGAGAGCTGGGATATCATCAGTGAGGATGGAACTCATGTTTTTGTGTTTGTGGGTGTGTTGTGAAGAGGGGTCTCAAACTATCCCAGGTCTGTAGGGCTGGTCTGGGCTTTGCATCTGTGCCAGGTGTGAGCACCTGGACTCTTCTGTTCCATGGGGGCAGTGGGAGAGTTGCCTCCTCAGCAAGTTGGCAGATGGTGGAGTGGCTGAGGCACCACTTGGCTGTGGCACCAGTCAGAGAGACCTGGAGACTGAGGGTTAATGGAATCTCCTACATTTCAGGAGTGAGAAATGGGATGTTCTGCATCTGCACAGGAAGAGCACCTGGCCCCAGGTCATGCTGGGGGCTGAGAGTGTGAAAAGCAGCTTTGCAGAGCATCACCCGGTGCTGCTGGTGGAGAACAAAGAGACCACAAGAGCGCCATGCAGCTTTACTTGAAAAGGCATCATCAGCATCCAAGACAGATTCCAGGAAATTCTTGCCCCAAAGCTGGGAGAGGTGGGCCATCCTCTCTTTTGAGCACTAACAGGTTCCTGTGCAGTGCGGTTTGGGCAGATCTGGGCTGTCCAGTGGAAGATGCCCGTGGACTTAGTGAAACAAAACCAGTTCATGGCCAACAAGACTGTAAAGCAGCTGGGAGATCTTTCACTGATGAGAAAATGAGAGAGCTGTGAATCCCAGGAGACAAGGATGGAGAGGGGCACATCATCAATGTAGGGAAATCCCTGAGGGTAGGGAATGAAGGTGAGCGATCACAGGCATCCTCAGCAGTGCACATGTGAAGGATAATAGGGCAAAGGCACAAGAAAAAACAGATTTTTTTTTTTTTTAGTCCTTGTCAAGGACTAGAAGCATTTTTCAGTGTGAGGGTGGTGACAGAATGGAAGAGGTGGTGGAATCTCTGTCCTGAGAGATGCAAAACCCGAACTGCCCATGGTGCTGGAATTCCTGCTCTTGTTGGTCTTGAGCAGAAGGGAATGGGAATAAAGCTCTTGCCCTCCAGACTTCCTCCCAAAATGTATGAATTTGTGACATTATACAGGGGGGGTTTGGGTATCAGCTGGGGAAGAGAGTTTGTCAAGTGTCTACTGGCACATAGTGGCTTTTTCAGAGCCATGAGCAGGAGAACCCTGGTGTGTCAAAGCCTTGGGTGTAGCAGGTGATGGGGCTTATGAAAGGTTCTGGAAGGTCACACTTCAACCCTGCTTCCTGTGCAGTTCTTGTGATTACTGGTGGGGATATATGTCCTAAGAAAGATGTTCCAGCCCTTTTCCCCTACACCAACAGCCTGTTAAGGCCTCACAATGTGCTGGGTGTGGGTGGGAGACAATTTGAAATCAAAATGGAGACATCTCAGGCTTTGATGCAGGAAAACTTTATTGAGGAAAAAGACTGAAGAGACAGGAGAAAAAGCTGGCAGGGATCTGGTTCGAGTTGCAAGTAGGGCAACCATCAGCTGTGGTGCTTTGATTGCTGAAGCTGTTGCCAGAAGCCCAAACTCTTGCACCAATGGTTCTTAGCAGATGTAACCGCCCCTTCTGCCATAGCAGCCCAGGCCTCCCAGCCCGTAGCCATAGCCCAGCCCGTAGCCAAGGCCAAAGCCAAAGCCACCGGAGATGGGCTGTCCCTGGGCATTGAGTTCACTGCCAACGGCAGCTGAGGAGGTGGATCCGACGACGGTGTTCTGGGGGAAGGAGGTCATGATGGGTCCTGGCATGGTGACCAGCACAGGGGCAGGGTCAATGATGACACGGGAGTTCTGGCATTGCAGGGCACAGGGCTCGTTGCAGCTGTTGGCCAGCGGGGTGGGTCCGCAGGGACGGCAGAGGCTGTTGCAGGCCATGGGTGTGGTGTGGAGGGTCCCTGGAAGAGAGGGGATTAAGCAAGCGGGGGTGTGGGGACTTGAGGGGTGAGGGAGTGTGGAGGCTGTTGTGGGGCTGTGGGGAGGTGTGAGGGCTGCTGAGCCTGGGGACAAGGATACTGGAAGAGAGGGGCCCAAGGGGCAGGAGGTGGAGGCTCAGGGGTTTGAGGCTCACCTGGTTGTCGGCACTGGAGGAGAAGGCTTCAGGAGAAGTGTGTGAGGGTGAGAGGCTCTGGGACATCTTTTATGCTGGTCCCGGAGGGGCGGGACAGCCTTGTCCCATGGCCTTGGGCATTTTGCAGACAGCAGCTCTTGCCCGGCCCATCCTGGTGAGTCATGACGTGGCTTTACCACAACTCTGCCATGTCATGTTTTGCTCTACGGACACTGGGTCTGTCTGACCTTAGCAGCATCTTTAAAGTGAGGCTTGGTGTTTGGAGTCAATGGGCATTGAAGATGTGTGTCAGAGAAAACCGGAATACACAACAAAAGCCGAGGAAAAGTAAAGGAATCATCAGTGAGGTCATTTTGTGGCAGTAGTGTGGTTTAGTTTGTGGGTGTGTTGTGAAGAGGGGCCCCATTCCATTGCAGCCATGTCAGGCTGCTCTGGGCATTGCAACTGTGCCGTGCATGAGGAGCTGCCCCTTCCATTGCAGTCATTCTTCCTTTAAAGTGTGAGTGTTTGAGAGCCAAGTCTGGTGTTGATGGTGAGTGTCAAAGAGGACTGACTATGTGACCAATATTTGGAGAGCTGGGATATCATCAGTGAGGATGGAACTCATGTTTTTATGTTTGTGGGTGTGTTGTGAAGAGGGGCCCCAAACTATCCCAGGTCTGTCAGGCTGGTCTGGGCTTTGCATCTGTGCCAGGTGTGAGCACCTGGACTCCTCTGTTCCATGGGGGCAGTGGGGGAGTTGCCTCCTCAGCAAGTTGGCAGATGGTGGAGTGGCTGAGGCACCACTTGGCTGTGCCACCAGTCAGAGAGACCTGGAGACTGAGGGTTAATGGAATCTCCTACATTTCAGGAGTGAGAAATGGGATGTTCTGCATCTGCACAGGAACAGCAAGTGGCCCCAGGTCATGCTGGGGGCTGAGAGTCTGAAAAGCAGCTTTGCAGAGCATCACCCGGTGCTGCTGGTGGAGAACAAAGAGACCACAAGAGCGCCATGCAGCTTTACTTGAAAAGGCAACATCAGCATCCAAGACAGATTTCAGGAAATTCTTGCCCCAAAGCTGGGAGAGGTGGGCCATCCTCTCTTTAGAGCACTAACAGGTTCCTGTGCAGTGCGGTTTGGGCAGATCTGGGCTGCCCAGTGGAAGATGCCCATGGACTTAGTGAAACAAAACCAGTTCATGGCCAACAAGACTGTAAAGCAGCTGGGAGATCTTTCACTGATGAGAAAATGAGAGAGAGCTGTGAATCCCAGGAGACAAGGATGGAGAGGGGCACATCATCAGTGTATGGAAATCCCTGAGGGTAGGGAATGAAGGTGAGCGATCACAGGCATCCTCAGCAGTGCACATGTGAAGGATAATAGGGCAAGGGCACAAGAGAAAACAGATTTTTTTTAGTCCTTGTCAAGGACTAGAAGCATTTTTCAGTGTGAGGGTGGTGACAGAATGGAAGAGGTGGTGGAATCTCTGTCCTGGGAGATGCAAAACCTGAACTGCCCATGGTGCTGGAATTCCTGCTCTTGTTGGTCTTGAGCAGAAGGGAATGAAGCTCTTGCCCTCCAGAGTTCCTCCCAAAATGTATGAATTTGTGACATTAATCTGGGAGGGTTTGGGAATCAGCTGGGGAAGAGAGTTTGTCAAGTGTCTACTGGCACATAGTGGCTTTTTCAGAGCCATGAGCAGGAGAACCCTGGTGTGTCAAAGCCTTGGGTGTAGCAGGTGATGGGGCTTATGAAAGGTTCTGGAAGGTCACACTTCAACCCTGCTTCCTGTGCAGTTCTTGTGATTACTGGTGGGGATATATGTCCTAAGAAAGATGTTCCAGCCCTTTTCCCCCTACAGCAACAGCCTGTTAAGGCCTCACAATGTGCTGGGTGAGGGTGGGAGACAATTTGAAATCAAAAAAAAGAGGAGACATCTCAGGCTTTGATGCAGGAAAACTTTATTGAGGAAAAAGACTGAAGAGACAGGAGAAAAAGCTGGCAGGGATCTGGTTCGAGTTGCAAGTAGAGCAACCATCAGCTGTGGTGCTTTGATTGCTGAAGCTGTTGCCAGAAGCCCAAACTCTTGCACCAATGGTTCTTAGCAGATGTAACCGCCCCTTCTGCCATAGCAGCCCAAGCCTCCCAGCCCGTAGCCATAGCCCAGCCCGTAGCCAAGGCCGAAGCCAAAGCCACCAGAGATGGGCTGTCCCTGGGCATTGAGTTCGCTACCAACGGCAGCCGAGGAGGTGGATCCGACGACGGTGTTCTGGGGGAAGGAGGTCATGATGGGTCCTGGCAGGGTGACCAGCACAGGGGCAGGGTCAATGATGACACGGGAATCCTGGCATTGCAGGGCACAGGGCTCGTTGCAGCTGTTGGCCAGCGGGGTGGGTCCGCAGGGACGGCAGATGTTGTTGCAGGCCATGGTGTGGTGTGGAGGGTCCCTGGAAGAGAGGGGATTAAGCAAGCGGGGGTGTGGGGACTTGAGGGGTGAGGGAGTGTGGAGGCTGTTGTGGGGCTGTGGGGAGGTGTGAGGGCTGCGGAGGCTGGGGACAAGGATACTGGAAGAGAGGGGCCAAAGGGGCAGGAGGTGGAGGCTCAGGGGTTTAAGGCTCACCTGGTTGTCGGCACTGGAGGAGAAGGCTTGAGGAGAAGTGTGTGAGGGACAGAGGCTCTGGGACATCTTTTATGCTGGTCCCGGAGGGGCGGGACAGCCTTGTCCCATGGTCTTGGGCATTTTGCAGACAGCAGCTCTTGCCCGGCCCATCCTGGTGAGTCATGACGTGGCTTTACCAC